TTCATATTTAGAAATTCAATTTTTAAGATGAAATGAAAGGGAAAAATACACTGGTCCTATAACAAAATCAGAGTAAGAAACTTGCTATACTAATTAATCAGTTTTAGAATTATTATTGCATGCTTTAAAATCCTAATAATAAAATGCTAAACTTTTATTCTTCTTAGAACCTCATAAAACATCTTCCTGAGCAGAAGGTACTCAATGAATTGGCACAACTTAAGAATGAATATGATGACCTCTGTGAGCCTGAGCAGTTTGGAGTGGTGGTATGTATTGAACATAAAAGCCTACAAACTCAGCTGGGAGGTTAATACTTGTTAGAAACAGTGAAAAGAAAGACATTTCAGCTGTTGACTTTTTTGTTACTGTATAACCACATAATTAAATATAATATTGGCTGACAGAAGATATCTTTATTTACCCAGTGTATCTGTCATGGTATTCAAAAATAGCAAAATAAAATTTTAGATTTGCCAAATAGTTCAAGATATCTCCTCCAGGCTTCTTTGTAACAGCACGGATATTCAATTCTAGTAACATATGCAAAGTTGTATGCAGTATTGGATTAGCATTTTTTCTTCCCTTTAGATCTTGATATTATATTTTGTCCCCAAAAAGCTTATGCTAAAATAAAGGGGTAATAACTCTATAAATGACAAAATAAAAATTGGAGACTCTTTTCTGTGATGTGTGTTATGTCTGAAAGCACACAGCTATTTTCACATTTCCTATTTAGTGTCATTAATTTTTTAAATTAATTATATTGGTACATTTAAGGTATACAGTATAATGACATTCATCATTGGAAATTTACACCTTTACATAATTCATCTTGGTTCTTATTTTCTCCCCATTCTCCTGCCCTTCCTTCAACACCTCCAGCCCTCCCTATCTACAAAGATTGTTTCCATGTTTTCTTTTTCTCATATTATTTTCTTTCCCTTCTTTCTTTTCCCCTACCCCTCCCACTTCCCCTTCCCCTTTGCCCGTTTTCTTCCTATTTCACATTATCTATTATAGCTTTTAGTCCTTATTTACACTTTCAGTTTCTCACACAAGAGAAACTATTTGGTATTTACACGTGTCCTCTTTATTTCACTTAAGAGTATCGCCTCAATGTGCATCCTTTTAGCTATAAATGTCTCTAGTTTCTCTTTCTTTATGGCTGAGTAATACTCCATTTTATAAAAAAACCCCACATTTTCTTTATCGAGTCTCCAGTTGATGGGCAGCTGGGTTGTTTCCAAGTTTTAGTTATCACAAATTGTGCTGCTATGAACATGGGTGCACATATATCACTGTGGTATGATTCTTTTAATTCTTTGGGGAAGATA